TATAATATATATAACATAGTATAATATATAATATAGTGTATTTTATATTTATTTTATTATATAATATATATATATATTATATAATAAAATATATTATATTACATAAATTTATAATATATATAACATAATAATGTACTTTTTATTTATTTTATTATTATATATTTACATAAAATAATATAGTATATTGTACATTGTATTTTAGTATTTATTCTATTAATATATATATTTATTATATAATATTTGTAATATATATATATATATAACATAATAATGTATTATTCATTTATTTTATTATATAATATATATTTATATAAAATAATATAGTATATACATTGTATTTTATATTTATTCTATTAATATATATATTTATTATTTAATATTATAAATATCTATTATATAAATAAAATATGATATATAATAAAATATATTATACAAAAAATTATATTATATATTATACAATAAAATATATACATATATCATATATAACGTAATGTAAAATATAAAATAGTGTATTTATATTTATTTTTTATTGATATATAGTGAATTATTTTATTAATCGTTATTTTTATTATATATATATATATATAACATAATATTGTACTTTTTATTTATTTTATTTTATTATATATACATAATAATATAATATATTGTACATTGTATATATTTTTATTATATAATATTATAAATATCTATTATATAAATAAGATATAATAAAATATATTATATATTATACAATAAATTTATTTTTTATTATAATATATTACACATTGTATATATTTTATTATATAATATTATAAATATCTATTATATAAATAAAATAAAATATATTATATTATATATTATACAATAAATTATATTGTATATTATACAATAAAATATATGCATATTATATATGAGAAAAAGTTCCAAGTTTAAGTTCCAACCCTTGGGTTGGAACTTTTCTTTTAAAGCAAGATTGGAACTTGAACAGTTCCTTGAAGTTCCATTTTTTTATCAAACACGAAACTTGAACAGTATTAAGAAGTCTAAATATCTAGGAAGACACTTCCTGTTATCAAACATGCCCTAAAAGGAACCTTCTTTGGCAATTACAAGCCCCCTTATGATCTTCCATCAGTTGTTGAGAAATACATGACAAAGGTTTGTCTGTGACCTTAAGATTAGCTATCCAATGGAGAGAGAGAGAGAGGTGAATTCACAGCTTCCCGTCCTATTCTCATTTACAGTTTCTGTCATCTTCTTCTAGCTTTACTGCTAAGGGAATTGCTAAAGTTGATTGTAAAAGTGTAGGAACTTGAACCGAAGAAATTCATCACACATTCAGTTCCATTCTCTGAAATCAACAAGACTTTTGAATATATGCTCCAAGGGGACAGCCTTCGCTGCATCATTCGAATGGACGGTTGATAACATGGAGAAGACCCTGAAAGCTTGCACAGTGTGCATATTGAAGGAAGTAAATAAATAAAGAGCTAATTTTTTCAGTCCTTAAGCTGGATTTGTTTGATTGGGGTGTTTTACCAAGGCTTTACTTGTATAATGTATGTATGTACTCCATCTTTAGTGATGGTTGTTGATGTGATCTTTTGCACGTAAATGGTGAGAATTGTTTCAAATGAAGTCAGACTGTTACCTGCCGATATTTAAAATCGTGAACTTTTGCGTCACGATATTCGAATGGCTTAAATGATATTGGCACTCCCTTTTACACCTCATTTTGGCTAAGAACGCCTGAAATTTCCACAAGTTTGCACATCTTATTGGTGAAATTTGTTTAAAAGAGGTTTGTTTTTGGAAAACGTGGTATTCCACCACGACGTGATTGTAATGAGTTAGTAAACTTTTTCCTGGACTTATTCTAAAGAGAAAGACCAAGTGCTTTTGCTAAAGAAAATTTTGCATCCAAGAGACAGTATTTTCTATAGCCATACTGATCTGAGTCCTTCAATGCAGCATCTCTGAATCTATGGGTGATGTCTGTAAATGACTCACGAGGATTTTGCCAGGTAGTGACCAATTCATCGAGGGTCATGGGTCGCTGCTTGTTCCCGTGATATTACAAGACAAAACATTGAAGCAATTCATCGGGAGTTTGGGCAAGATATTTAGTGACAAGATCTCGGAACTAGGTCAGTGGTTTTCAAAGAGGCTGTATTGGGACATTGCCTTAAGTTGCGAGGCCTTGAGTGAGGGGATAGTTTGGAAGTGACATGGTTTTCTGGGTCATCCTTCGTTTCTTATTTTTGGGTGAGTCAGTGGGGAGAGGGGTTCTACCCTTGGTAGGAATTGAGTGTAGGAAGTAGCACTGCAAATCATCAAGCGCTAACCAATTAAGCCCGGGCATTTTTCCTGGGTCATCATTCCTCCTAAACACATTTTCAAATTGGGGGAATATGAACCTCGGTGGGAGAGGCTCAACATCTTCTGGAGTGTCCCTGACGTAAGACTTAGGTGGGAGAATCTCTGGAGCTTCCATCTTCGCCAAGGTATGTTTAAATTTTTCAAGAATACTCTTCAAGTCAGTTAAGTTGATCAGGCCCTCAACTTACTTGTTCCCTGACATTGATGGACTGGCTTGAACTAGTGATAGGGTTAGGACTGATGGGCCGACAGGTAATAGGCCTAGATGGCATATACCTGGGTATGCAAAACAGCTTGGGTTGGCTGAACTTGGACTTGTGGCACCATCAGAGGGGACTCGACCAGTGGGTAATACATTCGCACGAGTGGTGCAACATGGGTCGGTTGAGCCCACACAAGGTAGGTTTGAAGTAATGGTGTAGCTTAAATTGGCTTGGAAAATAGGCTTAGGTTGGTTGAACTGACTGAGCTTGACATGGGTAGGTTTAGGCCCGAACTGGTTGGGCTGGAAACTAGGCGAGTGTCCCTCTCAGTAAGGCCCAGCTGACTTGTGGGTTAAAGGCTTCCCTAGGCTGACTCACTTGACTGAGTTGACCACGGGCTTCGAGAGGACCCTGACCATGTTTTTGGGCTAAGACTTGATGTGGATTCTCAGATGCACCTCCTAAGTATGTGGCTTTTAGGAAAGCTCGGACCATAGGGAGTTGCTTAAGCTTACTATGACCTAACAGACTGTAGGTACGTTGGGTCTGGTCAAGGTTACCTAACTAATGAAAAAGCTGAAAGCATAGCTAGGTCTGACTAGTGCCCATGTAAAACTCAGCTACAGGTCAAATTGGAGGCTGAGCTTTACTATTGTAGGTTTGTTTTGTGGTTAGGAATTCTGCAGAGGGCTACTCGTTTAAGTAGTGGTGCACTCCCAACTATCTCACTGCAAAACTGGGTGCTCGCATGACTTAAGTGTCAATATAGAGGGTTTTAGAAAATCATTTGAAATTCTTTGTTGGATAAGTGCAAATTGTGAGTGATAAGGGTGTGAAAATATAACACAAGTGGTGGGTGCCAACAATATGATAAAGAACCTAATCTAATGATCCAAAGGATAAAGATAAAGCAGAAAGATAAAGATATCAGATAAATAAATCTAATCTCATAAATAATTTGATTATCAAAAAATTGAACATTTTTTTTCTTTTTGGACGAGTCAGTGGGAAGAGGGTCCCTACCTTTGGTAGGAATTGAGTCTAGGATGTTGCGTTGCAAATTGTCAAGCACTAACCAATTAATCAAATCCGACGTTACTTTTGAAACACATATATTATGTTTATGAATTTTTGTTTCGAAGGTGTTCACTAGGTTGATGAGGTTGCGACTTCAAAATTTAAGGTGGTAAAAATGCTCCCTACTAGGGTCTTACATGAAGGAGTAGAATATTCTCCCATAGAAGCATAACATCTTTTGCCCTGAAATAAAAAACCAAACAAAATCTTTTGAAATGTGGCTGAAGTAGGGTATAATCAAACTATGGGCCACTAGAACTAACAATAACAAACAATACACATTTAACATGGGGCTTCTAGTCCGCGGCCAACATTCCATTTATACCTTTTCGTACTTCAAGGCTTTAATCATTGACACTTACCTATAGAGAAGCGTATACTTTTTATGGGACGTATACTAGAAGACCATTTATATTTGGCACGATTACTATTAGTCATTAGATGTGGAATCTAACGATTGAATTATGACATAATAAAAATTTGTATTTTAGATTTTGTGCTTAATCATAAATTTCTCATTTGATGGTCAATAATATTTATGATATTTTGTATAAAAAATACATAATTTATTGTATATATTTTTATTTTTTATAGTTTTTATGGGCTAGTTTTGCCCCTACACTAAAGTAATCAACCCAATACTGTCGATTCTGCTGCCCACAGCAATACCAACGTTTATCTTTTCTTTAATCCTTTCTTGAGTGGCCAAATCAGGCCGCTATTTATTTATTAGAGAATATACAACTTGTGCATTATCTAATATATAATAGTATATAACAAAAAAAGTAAAAAAGCCACAATTTGAAGCAGTTAGTGGATAAGCCGTTGCTCACTGGACGGAGATGATGGAGTTTGAAGTGAAAGAAGCCTATCTCGACCGTCCATCAATGAGACGGTCCAAATGGCACTTTGAAAACCACATAAAATAATATAATATGGATTTGTATCTCTCTTTATTTCACGTACCTAATTTATTTTGGCAAAAAGATATTCTACTCCTCCAGGAGTAGATTGCCTATTTTACTCCTTCGGGCAAAATCTCATCTAAAATTTTAAAACACCAAGCTTTCAGACGTAACTTCCAGTTAACCTCAATAAAAAAGAAGATCTTAATTGTACCATCTAAACACTTTCGGTTTTTTAGCACCCAAGCCTGTATATGTAAAAATGCGGGCCTATTAATAAATTTATTTTTGAGATGGATTTTTGGACTTAATTTTTAAAGACATGTAATGTTTAACATGGAGATCATGAATATGAAAAAATAAGTAAATTTTTAAAATTCGGAATAATAATTCTAATAAAAAAACATTTGGGCTGTAGTTTCTATTGCTTTAGATGGCACACCTACTTGTATCCATTTTTAAGATGGATGCTTTACACTTTTTGGACCGCATATTTATTTCCAAAAAATATGTCTCAACATTGAATAGAAACCATTCAATTTTTGGATGGTAAGATCTAATTTAAAAATTCAAATTTTAAATTTATTTGAGAATAATCATCTAGCAATTCTTTAATCATTTCCAAAATTTCAAAATAAAAAAATTCCTCTATGTGACTGAGGGAGCATAAGCAAAAATTATCCCAATGAATATAGGTCCTCTTTATTTTATGGGTGCGGTTCATATAGAGCCGAGGCTTTTAACAATCAAAGTAAAGCTTAGCTTCAAATAGTGTCAACAAATGTAGTTTCACTACTAAAAATATTTGTGATAGCGTTAAAAAATATTTTTTATATTTAATTATAAAATTTAAACCTTAAAAAATACAGTAGATCTAGCAGATCTATGAAAACTTGAAATTGATAGTCCAAAAATACGTTCCAACATGGACTATTTTCAAAACTTCAAATCTATTTTTTTTTTCTCATGTCATTGCATCTTGATGTGGAGATAATAAATTTGAAAACATTTGGGTATCAAAATAACATCTTCTAATAAAACTTATGAAGTAGGTTCTAATTTGATTGTTTAGAGCCTCGGCTCTATATAAACTTTTTTCTTATTTTATTGAAGACTACCACAGGTATATTCAGTGAGGGAGACTGACGGAATCGAATCGGACGGCATGAAAAGCGAATGACTACAAAACGCGTCAATTCCTTTGGGTTCCCAAAGCGAACCCCTTTTGAAAGTGACTTCAAAGACTTTTCGTGAATATAACGTATAAAGTATAAAGGCCAACTAAAAAAAAACAAGAAAAGGTCAGGGTCACGTTCTCTTGTGCTGCTGCACAGACCATACGAGGTATATCCAGCAGCCCAACCTTTCTATAATAAAGGAAAAATGTCTATATAAAGTGCAATTGTATACTGTACAAGTAAGGTGCACCTAAAAAACTCGCTAAAGAGGGTTACTCATATGTTAGAAAACCCTTAAATCGATAATCTCAATCTCGATATTCATAGACATTAAAAAAAAGGGATTTTTAATCCAAAAAATAGTTCATCTTCTAACACGTTATTTGGACCATCTATTTTCAAGTGTTTATAGATCTGCTTGATCATCACTATTTCTGTAACTTTAAATTTCATAATTGAGGACAACAATAGAATTAAATATCATCACAAGGCTTTGTGGCACTCAAACCGCATTAGTTTTGATATGTACCTTACGTCAATACTTCAACAGTATAAGGTTGACACCTTATACAAAACCTCACCCTTCTATAAAAATAAATTAAATAGTCGACCTTCCCGGCATGTGCTTCTCCCCTCTGTCCATTCAAAGAGATAAGACTTTGCTATTATCCATATATATGTCTAGAGAGAGAGCATTAATTAAGAGATTTCATGTAAGACACAGGTTCATTATTCATGTTAAGAGATGGGTTCATTATTCACCATTCAAAAGAAAAACCGAGAGGTGCATTACTCCTTTTAACTGATTATGAAATTTGGGCGCCAAAGTACATAAAAGAAGGTGGATATAAGGGTGGAAGAGGCCGTTTGTTCACTGTATCGCGTGATTCTTGTTGTTGCAGGTTAAGTAAAAGGAGGGGCTCGAAAATGTCGGTTTCGGGCGCTGAAATGCAGGAGGAGGACTCGTGATTCCGATTTCTTCCACACCTCTACGTGTATCATTCATTTTATGCACTCAAAATGAGGAAAACACTGCTTCTTTAAAGCCGAAGAGGAGAGAGAAAGAACAAAGGGGAGAATGAGAGACAGAGAAATGGCGAAGGAGGAAGGTGTCGGTGGCCTTCTTCTTCGCAGCAAAATTAAGATCGGCGTTTGCGTCATGGAAAAGAAGGTGAACTGCGGTCGTGAGGTTCTTTTCTTTGTCACTCTTTTCAGTTCTTCAAACACAAACACTTTTCCACTCTCTGTCTCTTCCTTCCCTTTTGAAATTCACATTTCCTTCTTTCCTTATGTGTTTTAT